TTATGGCTAGAATCCAACTCTACATCGATTACCATAAATTGATACATCGATTACGAAACACCAGAATTCATAAAGTATTACGAAGCACCAAAAGTCGACACGTAGAATCGGGACATTCTGCATTAAAATCTCGGAGTGGATATTATATATGTATTTCTTATAGTCATTTCTTACTTTTACTTTTTAAAAAATCAAATCATTAAGATATGGGAACAAATAAACCTATGCATTAGACACTGTTTTTCAATTCCCTTCAATGATAATTCTTTCCTAAGAAATAACCATTTATAGGATTAGGAATGAGTAATTGAATGGCAATTTTATTCTTGTATCATTCTATCATACAAATCATTCCATTAGAGATACATGCATTAAGGATGCATTTGTTTGTGAGGTATATATAAAAAATATACAGCTGCCTTTTGCAATCTCTCTCTCTCTCTCTCTCTCTCTCTCTCTCTCTCTCTCTCTCTCTCTCTCTAATCCTCTCTCTAATCCAGGAAATATTTTGAAAATTACTTTAACGGACAGTTATAATCATATTTTTTAAAAACATTTTTGCAGGAAATAAGAAATAATCAAGAAAATAATAAATATTAAAATTTTGTAGGTTGTTAACAAGATATACTTATTATTATTATAGAGTGTTTGAATAATTAAAAATTTGATTGCTTAAAAATTCTTTTAAATTTTTTTTTTACATAATTTAAAGAAAAAAATACATCATTCTTTACAATCTTTATCAATCTATCCACAATAACATAACTGAAATATTTAAGTCATATAAATAAATAGCATTTATAATGATCATTTAAATGTTCTATACATCCTCAGAAAATTTAAAAATAAATTAAAAATAAAAATCAGAATACCTTTGCAAATGCTACCGACCTTACAACTTATAATCAATAACTGATTAGATACATTTGGGTTAACAATTTTTATTCTCATAAAACAATGATATAACAAAAAAAAAAATTGTGTATAGTTATTGTAAGATATAATCCTGCAGTTTCCTTGTTAGTGAAGTGCAACTTCCTTGCACTTTCATTACACTTTCATTGCATTTTCTTTGTAGCTTCCTTGCAGCTGCAAAGGA